ACCTTGTCACTGACACCTCATTACACTGTTTTCTGAGACAGGTAATCCAGACTGGCCTCTAACTTCCCACACAGCAGACGATGACCTTGAGTTCTTGATCTCCTTGCCTCCACCTTACAAGTGCTAGGATTAGGTGTGTGCACTGTACCCCACTCTTTTTAATTAGCCTCTTTTTAATTGAAGTGTTCTTTCTCCATCATTTTGCATATAAACAGAATTAGTTTAAAATGGATCATCTTTCTTTTTTGGTCTTCTCAGAATTAAGGTCAATTAATTGGGTAAGAAGAAGGAACTCAAACTCTAGGGGGAAAAATCCAACTTGTTCAACCTTGGATGTCCTTCTCCAATGTCTCCCCATGAGAGCCCTGTTTCCTCTGCTGTCTGTGGCTACTGAGAGCTGCCTAAAGTGAAAGGCTGCTCACCCGTGAAAAGCTTCAAAGTAAAGAGCAAGAAATGGACATCACTATTTAAAATTTTAAAAATTATTTTTGTATGAATGCTTTGCCTGCATGTATGTCTGTGTACCATGTACAAGTATGGTTTCCAGAGGCCAGAAGAGGGAATCAAATGCCCTGGAACTGGAGTTACAATTGGTTGTAAATCACCACGTGGGTGCCAAGAATTAAACCCAGGTCCACTGAAAGAGCAAATGAGTGTTCTGAGCTCCTAAACTATCTTTCTAGCCTCAACCAGAATTGCTGTACATTCAGTCCATTATTCAAATCTCCAATCATCAGGTGCTTCCACTTGCTTCCTCCATTTTCACTTTCTAACCTGCTTTCTATTTTTAAAAAAACTGTATTTTATTCATTCATACTATAGTTTCTCTTAGGTCTAATAAGGATTCTCTCATTTATAAGACCACTAATCAAATATTATACCATAAAACCACAAAGGCAGTCAGTCTCACCTCACTTCCTTCTGACTTTTCCCCTTCCCTACCTAATTTCTGGCCTTAAGAGATTCGGCAACCTGCCTGGTATTGTTGGTAGCCTGTCCCACCAAAAACCCATAAGCTATATAAACCAAAGCAGTATTTTCCTATTGTATGTGAAAAAATCTGCAACCTTTACTTTTCTCTCTTCCTCCTTATAACCATTTAGTTATTTTTGGTTCTTCAAGGTGTCCTGTGGAGGATCTTGCAACTAACAGAGGCAGTGGAGGAATGCTCTTACAGGTCCTGGGAAATCATGTTATAATCTAAGATGGTCACCAATCATCAGTAGTGATTCTTAAGACGTCCCCCAGAGCCAAAAGACTGCATCTGGGCCGGCATGAATGCATTAAGCCTATCTACAGAAGATACAGGTAAACTCCTTATAAGACAAATGCAAACTGAATATACTAAGATGCTGTCCTTTCCTGTTGAAGGAGCTGCGGGCTACGTTCCTGCCACCCAGCTCCCGGCCGCCTGGCTAGCTTATGCCCCAAAATAACAACACACAAACTGTATTCATTTAAACACTGCTTGCCCATTTCTATTAATGTGTGTAGCACCACGAGGTGATGACTTATCTTGCCTAACCCATACTTAGTAATCTATGTAGCACCAGTCTTACCGGAAAAGATTCAGCATGTCTGACCTGGCGGCTTGCTTCATCGTGTCTGCCCTGGAGAGCAGAGCTATGGTGTCTGAGCTCACTTCCTCTTCCTCCCAGCATTCTGTTCTGTTTACTCCACCCACCTATGTTCTAACCTATCAGGCCAAGCAGTTTCTTTATTAATTAACCAATGACCTTCCTCCATCACTTTCCTACAACATACATGTTATCAAACTTGCAAAGACATTATTATTATTATTATTATTATTATTATTATTATTATTATTATCGCCCACCCTACCCCCAGATAGAGTTTCTCTACCTTTGCCTCCCAAGTGCTGGGATTAAAGGTGTGCACCACCATCATCAGCTGAAGGGACTCTTTATACCAGTGGTGTCATTTTATTTTGGAACAATCTGTATAGAGGAAACCCTGGCCAAAAAAAAAAAAAAACTCAATCCAAGTTTTAAATGTACCATGACCCAATGCTCTAGGGAGGCACCCTACAGACTGAGCAACGCACAATGAAAATAAAAGAAATTAATCACTGCTGTACTGATTATTATATAAAATGCTTGAAACTAGCAAATATCAATATACCTGAGTTTTATTTAACTACTTTTGGCTTAACCAAAAATTTAACCAAAAGAAGTTAAACAAAATCCAGGTATAAACTCAAATACTATGCAGCCACTTGAGAAAAACAAAGCAAAAAATTATTTTTTGTCTATTCCAATATAGGCAAAAAGTTCGATTTTTTTTCAAGTTAAAAAAAAAAAACACAAGACATAGAACAGTATGCAATCATCTGTACAACAGACCCAGACATATAGACATCCCACAACCAATATAATATCTATAGCATTGAAGACTTACTTATCCAGACGGATGCACAAGAAAAGGTTAATGGTGACTGACTATGTGGTGAGATACTGGGTGACTTACAGTAAGGAAGTAAAATCTCACACTACATTTTTACTTTACTGTGCCTTCTAATTCTTTTTAAACCTGGTACATGTATTTGGGATAATTAACGTTAACCCTAAACTCAAATATAGAGGTTTCATGTTATTGGCTGTTTTCTACTCTTAACTCTTTTTGGGGGCAGCCAACCAGATTCCAAATAAATCACACGAAGACTTACTACTACTTATGAATGCCTAGCTTTAATTTGGCTTGTTGTTAGCCAGCTTTTCTTAAATTATCCTGTCCGCTTTTGACTCTGGGCTTTTGCCTTTCTCTATTTCTACATAGAGGCTGTGTAGGTGGATGGCTAGCCCCTTCTTTTCTTGCTCCTTCATCTTTCCCAGATTTCTATTTATTCTCTCTGCCTGCTAGCCCTGCCTATCCTTTTCTCCAGCCTCGCTATTGGTCGTCCAGCTCTTTATTAGACCAATCATGTGTTTTAGACAGGCACAGCAACATAGCTTCAGAGTTTAAACTACTGCAACATAAAAAAAAAATGAACACATCGTTGCACCATTAAACAAATATTCCAAAGGATAAACAAATATAACACATCTTAATCTTCTACAACAGTTTCATATAAAATAAAGACTTAACAATGTAATTGGGGGGAGCGGTTTCAAGACCAAGTTTTCTCTATGTAACAGCCCTGGCTATCCTGGAACTCTTTGTAGACCAGGCTGGCCTTCAATTCATATAAGTCCACTTGCTTCTCAAAGTAATGTTTTTGAAGTGAGGCCAGAATCAAACTTTTTAACTTGTAAATATTGTTTTTTTCTACAACAATCTCTTACACTGACTCCATGCTCATGAAGTGTACATTAAACCGCCTTCTACTTTGATCAGTTGCCCTTGAACTGTCTCAGAGTCACAGGCAACTCAAAGCTTTTAAAAGCACTCCTGAAGTGTTTTTTTTTTTTTTTGATTTTTCGAGACAGGGTTTCTCCGTAGCTTTTGGTTCCTGTCCTGGAACTAGCTCTTGTAGACCAGGCTGGCCTCGAACTCACAGAGATCCGCCTGCCTCTGCCTCCCGAGTGCTGGGATTACTGAAGTGTTTTTTTAAAAAATAAAATAAAAACAAAATTTTTCCCATAAATGTATAAAGTTGAAGCCAGATCCCAACTGTTTCAAATCTAACAAGGTAATATTCTTTCTGATGTTTTAGCAAGGAAGCAGCTGGCTTCACTGGACACAGCATTTTGCTTTTGAATGCTAGTTACTGCAGTAACTGCAAAGACAGTTTCCAATCACTTAGCCTTTCCTTCTCCAAAAGGAAAAGTGGTGAGCACTTCTAAAGCTAAAGGAGTTCAAATACTCAGCACAGTCACACAGTAAGCAATCAATATAAACTAGGTGAACACCCTCAAAAAACAACTGGAGGAAAAAACATCTCTTGAAGAACAACCCTTATCACTGTAGAACTGGGAAGCTCAGCACACTTCTGTACTTGGGCTCCCTCACTCTTTATCTAAGAGTAAATATTAATTTTGTAAACAAAAAGTCACAGATACTTATTTAAATTTAACTCCTAGGTGTGTCACAATCTAAAACAACCCAAAAACCCACGCTATACCTTAAACATGTTATCCCAGCATTTGGGGCACTAAGAGACAGAAAAATCACAAGTTCAAGGCCAGTCAGGGCTATGAATAACGATACCCCTTTTCCAAAAGCAAACTAAAACCAGTAGTCCTCATACACAGTATTTTTAATTTTTGCACAGAAATCAGAAAACACACATTAACATAAGAGCCCTCAACTGCTCATCTGGGCTAATTCTAGAAATACTCAAATTTTAAAAAGAACTTATCAAATGTAGAAAACTATGCAATAACCTCCACCCAAACCTCAAAATACAATTGCCTGTTTTAATCATTAAAACACCACATGGATCATTCCCAAACATAAATACCGATTTCAGATCTTCCAAGTTTTAAAGCCCCAGGACTCTACTTTGATTATCTTGTTCTTTTATTTTCATTTTATATTATTTATTGTAAATATCCTGGTAATCGAGTCGGAGACTTTAGCATGGGACAAATAACTAGTTCCCTTCCTTCTTCCCCGACCCCAGATCTCTATACAGAATTTCTGCTCTGTTCATGAATATCACCTAGTTCTCATAACCAACTAAATCACTTCTCAGAATGACAGCACAGCACCCGAGGAGATTATGGAAGCTCAAATATCATATAAAGATTGTTAAAACAATGGTGCTTCAGTTATAATGCTGGCCTACACAAAGCAGTGCTTCAGCACAGATAAGGAAGCCCTTTTCTCTTCTGGAAACATGATTACCTGTTAAGTTAAGCAGGCTGCCAGGTTCTCGTATTATAGTCCATATTTCACTTGGTTAAAAGAAATGTAAGTATTCTTTCTTGAATCTCCTGAAGTTTACCAGATAAAATAGGCCTATCTAAGTATGTCTCATGTGTTTTACAAATATTTTCTTACAGAGTTCCTCTCGCAGCACCTTAGAGACAGTAACTTACTCAAGAGCAGGTCTCAGAACTCTGACTTTCAATGCTTCTAATATTCGATTTAACTCCACAAATGGTTCTTTTTGACTTGGGTCCACAGACAGTCCAGATTCCTGGAAGGAAAAGGAACAGGAACAACAACTTGTTAGGATATTCATTCGCAATGGGAAAGGCTGATCTAGGTTATAAAATGCAGGGCTCTAAAGTCAATTTCCCTTTAGCATATATTTCTGTGGCAAACTGTCCCACCACTATGTTTCTGCCAAGTCTGAGCTGAGCACCAAACCACGAACTAAAGCTGAGTGTGGTTCTGCATGTTCAGGCCAATGAACTGCAAGCACACACTCATTCCCGGGATGCAAGGTGCAGCCGAGGTCTGTCACAGGAGGAGGAAACACCGGAACCTGCAGAGCTAAAGGAGTGTCTGAGAACTTCACAGGCCAGATGCTAAGAACTTTGCTTACCACCTCTCTTTCCACACGAAAAAACAAACTAATTCTCAGTGATATAATTTGCTGTAAGATGTTTATGGACACATACACACACCTCAAAAGGTATGAAGAAAGACCCGAGTGCCATTTATCTCAACTGTTTCAAATAGAAAAGACCTAGATTATAGATTGGTTTATGATTGATTCCCTTTAAATTATTTTATCTTCTGAGTTCTTCATTTTTAAAACAAAAAACAAAAATGCAACAGAGTGGAGTTTGGACAAATGAAAAAGGGACTGAATCCCGGTTCCTTCAGAAAGGCTTCCCGAACAGCCCTGGGCACATTCCTTGACTCTCCAAACGTCACACTTCTCATGTGTAGAACAACAACAACTACTACTTCACAGTGGAGTGGAGAGGAGTAAACAGGGTGTGGCTCAGAGGAAACACACCGCACACAGCAGCTACTACTACCATCCTCATGGTGTTCCTGTCTAACAGAAAAGACAAGCAAAGCCCACCAGGAGTCAATTTTAGTTTGCAATTCATCTGATACACTTTTACTAGATCAGAAAAACAAACATTAAAATCTTGTGTCTTTCCTCTTCTCTGCTCTATTAACCTTTCCTATTAAAGGAGGAAACAGGAGTAGACAGTGCACTCACAGCGCTGGGGAAGCTGAAACAGGAGCAGTAAAGGGACAGCCTGGGCCACACAGGAAAAATATCATCACTTCTGACACACTGACTAGACTAGAAACCAACCTGTCAGATTCCAAATAAGGAAAGAACAACTCAGATGTTAAACTTTAAGAGTGTTAATTTCTTTTTTACCTTTTTTAATGACTTTTACTTACTGATTTTTTTTATTGAGCTCTACATTTTTCTCTGCTCCCCTCTCTGCCTCTCCCCTCCCCCCATCAACCCTCCCCCAAGGTCCCCATGCCCCCAATTTACTCAGGAGATCTTGTCTTTTTCTACTTTCTACTTCACATGTAGATTAGATCTATGTAAGTAAGGGAAGGGCAATTAAGACATTAAATTGCAGCACCATAACTTCTAAGAACGTAAAAAAATGTCCTAGCAAAATGAAGTTACTCACGGTATTAAAAGATTACAAACCTATCTACAGTCTGAGGTACATACAAAGTCCCATCTGGAGATAATGCAAACTCCACAGCATTGCCTTCTTTATTTTTCCCTTGCTTTGCTGGCATGCGGTTACCTGACAGAGCTCCTCAGCTACATCCAGCATTCCTTGTCTGAAGAAATGTTCCACCATCACCTCGTTGAGAAGTCGCTGGCTATCCGCCTGCCAGCAGCCATCTATTCCCACACTGCTAATGTCAGAGTCAAAATTCTGGGGGGAAATAGAAAAGAATCGTGTATAGGTGACTTTCATTTTTCACCCCACCTAACAGAAAGAAACAAAGGTTTGCATCTTCCTTTGGTATCAGTTCAATTCATTTATACAATCACAGGCAGGGGCTTTCCTAGTGCAACTTTTAAATCTTTTCACTCTTGAGAACTACTGCTGGAATAATCACACATAATAAAAATATAAAAATAACTTAAGGAGCACTTTGGAAAAATGTATAGATTTAACACTGACTTCTGTGAAACTGAAACCAATAAACCAATTTCTGGGCATTATACTAGAGCAGTATTTTCAGAAATATGTTACAGTATCTGCTAAAAGCATGCTCAGTACAGCACTATCTGTAATGCAAAGGACAGAAACACACACACACACTCACACACACACACACACACACCTCCATCAATGTAGGACTGCTAAATAAACCATGCTACAGCCCAACAACTAACTGCAGTTCTGAGGCTGGGAGTGAGGAGGTGGGAGAGCCAGACAGTGCGTGCAAAGAGCAGTTTACTATTACCAGGCCTACACTTGAGCTATGGATACATAGTTTGGACTCACAGAGTCCACTGCAGACTCTGAAACTGAAGTAAGGTACTTTCAAAACTGTGAACACAACTGGATCTGCGACCTACGGAAGACTGCCATCCACACGGGGAAGGGCAGCGCAGAGTTGTCTGGCACACAAGGAACCAAACACAGCTCAAGGGGCACAGAGAGGAGGTGACAAGCACCAAGGTCAAAGGCACAAGTACTGAAACCCAAGGCTTCCAAGCTATCTTTACAAAAATGTTCCAAAAACAAGGGCGAACACACACACACACACAGACAAAACAAACAAAAAAAAAAAACTGAGGGTTAATTGCATGAAAACACCTGTGGGGTTATTTACTGGAGAATGGGTCCTTTAACAGTGAAGAAAAATGATTCTCCTTCCCCCAGCAGTCATTAACTGCCAAAAGCTCCCCAGCTAGAGTGGGGTCTCAGGAGCCCTCACTCATCCTTGTTTTCTAATAGAATCTCTTGTGCTAGAACTTAGCCTAACCAATGGGAAAAACACAAACAACTTAAATGCTAAAGTAATGCACATATGAACTTACCAATGAACCACCATCACCTAAAAAGATTCTGAGTTTTACTTCTGCTTATCAGAGACCCTGTATTTAAGAGTTGATTCATGGCAGGCCACCGACACTTTAAAACAAAGTCATTTATAGTTTCTGTGCTATCTATAATAACCAAAACACAAGGGGGCAGTTTGTTCTTCTTCTGAACTCAACTAGAAACTCAAAGAATGATAGGGCTATTTTACTTCCCCAGAGGCCATTCAAATGAATAAAATAATGGGTATCTAATGATGTAATCTACAAATTCAGGAATCTGCCGATAATTCTCCACATGCCTAAGCTTATGTAACAAGCAGCAACCATTTAGAGTTATACCCTTCACTGGTCTGTGAACACACACAGCCCCCAGGGTGGCAATAACTCATCTAATAATTACTTCTCAATCTTATCAACCTCCTATTAATATGTCGCCAGGTATTTAACTCCCCAGGAAAGAAGGAAAACAACCATGGAAAATAAATATGCTTTCAAAGACATTTTACTTGTTAATATGTATTACCAGTTTGCTTGTTTTTAGAAACAAGTTCTCAAGAAGCCCAGGCTGCCTTCCAACACACCTGTAATAACCGATGACCTTGAACTCCTGACCTCCTGCCTTCCTCACAAGTACAGACTAAGAGTATATAGCACAATGCCTAGCATACTGGCAGTTTTTTTTTTTTAATTTTTTGGGTTTTGTTGGTGTTTTTTGAGACAGGGTTTCTCTGTGTAATAGTCCAAGCTGTCCTGGAACTTGCTCTGTAGACCAGACTGAACTCAAACTCACAGAGATCACTGGCAGAATTTTAATAGTCACTAATAATTTCTGTTGAAGGACGCTTCCCAGCTTTCTTGAGGACTACAGAAGTCATTTCTGCCCATCTATGAGGCCACATCCCATCTTCCTCTGTAGGCATTTTGGCCATTCATACATGTGAGTAATAAAGATGCCCCCTTGCCATGAATAAACATTCTGCCTAAGGTCAGACCAAGCCTCTTCCCACCTTCTCCCCCTTACAGCTGCTTTTAAAATAATCCAACAGTTATCACCAACACTATCTGCTCACATAATGAAATTATTTGGATACTTAATTTCTCTAAGATACATAGCAAAAATAAATGCCGATCCCTGAGTCTCGTATTTAAACAATATTATGAAGTTTTACAAGGATGCCTTCACATTTTTCCTTTCTAAAGGCTTACTATGGTTACTACTACATGGGAAAGAAAACTGGAAATGCCCTTTCGGCAGAAGCATCCTTAGTCACATTGAGGCTTTGGAATGTAGTCGCTCAATTTAGAAAACAAGCAAGAACAATGCATGTTTCTGAGCACCCTTCTACCGTGTTTTAATACTTAAAACAACTAAAGAAGGCAGGAAAACCTTTCACAGTTTTATGTTATAATAGATTATAAACAGATGTTGAGATGCAAAACAAGTCAAATTCTCTTTATTATAACTGCAGATTCTTTTTCCTTTTTGGGGGGGGGGTAGGGGTGATGAATAACTATTTTTTTTCACTTTTCTATTTTATTTTTTTTTAAAGGAAACTATCTTTTTTCATTTTACACACCAATCCCAGTTCCCACTCCCTCCCCTCTTCCCATCCCCTCCACCTTTCCTCCCACTCCTCCCCCACTCCCCTTCTATTCCTCTGAGAGTGCAAGGCACATTGGTCCATGGAAGGACCAAGGCATTCCCTACTATATATCTAGGCTGAGCAAGGTATCTATCCAGAGAGATTCTAAAAGGTTCCAAAAGGCCAGTATAAGCAGCAGGGACAAATCCTGGTGCTACTACCAGTGGCCCAGCAGTCTGCCCCCAGTCATAAAACTGTCACCCACATTCAGAGGGTCTAGCTTGGCCCTATGCTGGTTCCTTCCCTGTCTGGCTGGAGTTGGTGAGCTCCCATTAGCTCAGGTAGACTGTTTCAGTGGGTGAACCCATCATGGTCTTCACCTCTTTGCTCATATTCTCACTCCTACACTCTTGAACTGGAGTTTGGGAGCTCAGCCCAGTGCTCTGATGCAGGTCTCTGCCCGTTTCCATCAGTTGCTGGATGAAGGTTCTAAGGTGACATCTGAAATAGGCATCAATCTGACTACAGAGCAAGGTCTGTTCAGGCACCCTCTCCACTACTGCTTAGGGTCTTAGCTAGGGTCATCCTTGTGGATTCCTGGGAATTTCTCTAATGCCACGTTTCTTGCTAGCCCCATAACGGCTCCCTCAATCAAGATATTTTCTCCATGTTCTCTGTCTCTGTCCTTCCCCCATCTCAACAATCCCATTCCCATTTCTTCAAGTTCTCCTCCCCCTCCCTTTATCCTCTCTTCCTCTTCAGCCCTCCATTTCCCCACCCCCACGCTCCCAATTTTCTCAGGAGATCTTGTCTATTTCCTTTTCCCAGGGAGATCTGCATATGCTTCTCTTAGGTTCTCCTTGTTACTCAGCTTCTCTAGGGTCGTGGACTGTAGACTCGTTGTCCTTTACAGATAGTACCCACTGAGGATAACTCACTGCTGCATCAGAGCTGGCATTCCTTCCAGCCTGTTACTGGGTGACCAAACATATTTACATAGCTACCCAGGAAATCAAGCAACACTGTATACCAGCACAGGCACTAATGCAAAGAAATACCTGTCTGTTATTAACATCATCTGCTTTACTTTTTCCTTTCATATTCTTAAAACAATGAGAACCAACCTATTCATAACACTTCGGAAGCAAAGACCAGAGGATCCTGAATTCAGAGTCCACCTGGGTTACACAGCAAAACCCTGTCTCAATATGTCAGGCATGGTGGTACACACCTTTAATCCCAGCACTTGGAGATCTCTGAGCCTGGTCAACAGAGTGAGTTCCAGGACAGCCAGGGCTGCACAGAGAAACCTTGTCAATAAAGAAAAAAGGAGCCTGACATGATGTTCTTACCCAGGGAGGAAGGACCAAAAAAGGCAAAGCACATGTTCAAGGGCATGTCCATTTGCACAGGATGCAATAAAGCTTGGAAAAAGAAATTCACAACATGCTAAATCTAGAGACTATCTCTTTGGAGATCTCATGAATTCAACCAAATCAATTTAAAGACTAGTTTTCATTGCTCACCAAATACATTCATAAATCATAGTTACTAACAGCTCATGGTAAAACATGTCAATTCGCAATGTTATTTTAAAGCTTCCCATCTACTTTGAAGAAAACCTGACATATGACTGCAACAATTGTTCCACTGCAGGTCACTGCTGCACCTGCAAAGAACTGGGTTTTTTTTTTTCAACATCTGGTTAATCTCTTTCTGGATTAGAAAGAGAGTGACTCCAAAGGACTCCCAACAAAGCAAGCAGACCTGGACTGGGAAAAGATGGCTACTTCACACTCAACTCACAAAGATTACAAGTTCAGAAGATATGGAAGCAAACTCCCCAGGTCATGAGATAGACAGACTGAGGAAAGCCATGGACAAAAAGAACATGAAATTCACAAAGGAGGCCATTCTAAAGGTTACATGTGAAAAGACGCTCCACCTCAAAAGATCAGAAAGGTAAAGTGAGTGTGACCAGACATGACTTCACACACCATCTGGTTAATCTTTAAAGATTTGCAAATGCGGTGAGAAATGAGGGAACAGGACTGCCAAACAGGTTGGGCATGACTGTAAACTGGTATAAAAACCCCCTAGGAAAATATCTGGCAACACCCTGTAAAGCTGATAATAAATGCAGGATCCATGAGGAAATACACCTGTACGGAGGCATAGAGTAGACCGCAGTGCTTCCCAGGCTATGGCTGCGAGAAAACTCAGAAGGGCAGCAGCGGCAGCTGCAGCAGTACAGGAGGAATCTAGATTCCCACACCATCTTTCTTGACATCTTACT